GTCTTTTTTTTTAAAGATTGGCACCTGAGCTAACTGTTACCAATCTTCTTTTTTTTTCTGTTTTTTCTCCCCAAATCCCCCCAGTACATAGTTGCATATTTTAGTTGTGGGTCCTTCTAGTTGTGGCATGTTGATGCCGCCTCAGTGTGGCCTGATGAGCAGTGCCATGTCCGGGTCCAGGATCCAAACCAGCGAGACCCTGGGCCGCCGAAGCAGCACGCGTGAACTTGGCCACGGGCCAGCCCCTTTACTGTGTGTGTGTTTTTTTTTTAACTTCATCTACTAGAATGTAAATGCTGAGAGCAGGAAAGATGCGTATAATTTTCCTACTGTGTCTTCAGTATCAGGGATGATTTCCTTTCCAAAATATTTATCAATTAAGTGATTCAAATCAGTTTCCAAAACCTCAATATATGCATATGTATTTGAACTTCCATTTAATGCAGATGACATGTAGAATACTACTATTCTAACATTCTTTCCTTAAGTTTTTCTTCTTCATGTGCTTAACACCTGAGTTTGCTTTAATTTCTCAATAACCCTGGAAAAATGTTCTCCCTTCCATTAATCCCCTAAGCTTTCAGGCCACACCTTTTCTCTCTGGGACTTTTGACTTACTCTCTTGAGGATATGTCATTACTTCTCTTCTTTCCCCTTGTGCCCCATCTAGACGCAATGCGATTTCAGCACAATTCTGAAATACTGTATGAGTGTTCTTGGGTAAGTGAGTGTCTGAGCAAGTGGAATATGAGAAATAGGTGAAGAAGACATCATTTATGATGCAGGTATAAGAAGAAATGCTTGTACTGTATCAAAGAAAACTCCAAATTCAGGCAAGCTATTTTTAGCCAAATTTCAAGAGAGGCCATAACATCTCATAAAAGGAGTAATTGACAGGCAAGGATACAGAGATTTCTTAGAAACAAAGAACCATTTTTATTGAGAATAAGTGATTTGGCCAACTGTAGGATGTTAGGATCATCAACACAGTCATAACAGAGAACCCCAGACTAAGGACGTAATGCTAATATTTGGAGAATAGTCAGACGACACCTCAGAGGCTCAGGCCACAATGATGCCATTCTAAAAATGGGTAATTGGAGGTCAAAGCCTTTTTCAAGTTGTAATTTCTTGGGTTTAGAAATCATGGAGTCCAGATCCATGAATCAGCATTATCTTTAGATACGCCATTTCAGGAGCAAATGAGCCTTTGATAGGGATGTTCTAGCAGCAAGAAGAGTAACATCTTCTATAGCAAAATGGCCTGTAGCCACAGTAGCCAGAGCCAGAGCCGTATCCACAGCCATAGTAGGAACCATATCCATGGCAGTATCCAGTTCCATAGCCACAGCCGTAACGGGGCCCATAGCCACAGCCATAACCAGAGCCATACCCACAGCCATAATGGGGGCCAAATCCACAGCCATAGCCATATCTGCAGCCATAGCCACAGGAGTTGCCATAGTAGTTGCAACACATGTTGTCAGGAGAAGAGAATTCAGACGGGTTGCAAGAGGAGGTTTCTGAAGTATGTGTGTCTTCCGCTTCTCCAGGACCTTTACATACTGTCAGTAATTGGCAGAGCATACCATTCATCCCTGACTTAGCCACAAAATATGTAAACAACTCGTATGTGCCAGTTGCTGTCGACAATCATTAACAATGGTTTGCTTAAAATGAGCTCATTATTTTGGAGACTCCAGTTTCATTTAAAGAGCATCGTTTACATTTACTCTGCCAAAGAATTATCTCAATAGAATCATGTGCCTGAAAGTAAAACTGATACCCATTTTCAAACCCTCCTATTATTAAATAGCTACCTCACACAACTAGGTTTTGGCAGATTGTAGGAAAATTTTGCCCTTTTGCTCTCTATTCTTTCCCAAAATGTCTACCTTTCCCCATAGGGAAGGAAGTATTCCCATCTCCTTTCTTGAATCATTGCAACTTCTTGCCAGGCTTCTCCCACTCAGCTACCTACTGTCTGATACCTACTAGCTTCTTGTGGTAGAAAACAGGGATGATGCTAATTCTCTAAGGCACAGAACAGCTCCCAACAACCAGGAAACATCTTGGTCAAATGTCGTAGCGCTGACATCTGGAAACCTTGGCTTATAGCTCTGCCTCTATAAATAAGCTCTTCTATCTATAGGTGTCTCAATCCAAACGTGCCCTTTCCTTTCATTCTATCCCAAACCTCCGACCTTTCCATCACCAAATGTGCAGTCAAAGAAAGTGTTTTTGTTTGTTTGTTTATCTAGTGGGGGGGGATTTTTTTTGCTTATCTTAATTCTCTAGGTTTTAATTAAATCACCATTTTCAGAATCAGGCTGACTCCAAACCTAATTTTTTTTTTACTGTAACAACTATGAGTCCATGTTGGAAGGGAATATAAACTCAGGATGATCATTCCTTCTACTAGATACTTGAATTTCAACTACAAAGGAATGAGCGGCAATACACTACTTTATTAAATGCTTTAATAGAGATTTACAAACCTGTCAATTTCATTTTCTCAGCAATTTCCTTAGCAGACAGTTAATCTTCCTACCTATTTTCTTCTGATATTGGTCACTCATCTAATCTGATCACAGTTATGTTTCATCCTTAACCATAAGCATACAGAAAACACATCTCCATTCCAATTCTTTTTCCCTTTGTTTTCTCTCTTTTTCCATCCTCCCTGAAATTCAAAACTATAAATTCTGTTCCTACAAATTCCCTGGCATAGACACTTTACTGTTTAATACTACTACCAATACCCACTTTCAGGCCCCAATACCCCTGGATTATTGAATAAGTATTTTATCTTATTGCATTATTTCTACTACTTTTCAATTCAGATCTCTAGATACTGATCCATAACAGTGGAAACAGTCTTTATTTTGTGCATCTCCAAATAACCAGCTCTGAGTTCAGTGCCTGGCACATGATTTACAATCACTATTTTGCCGATAAAATATAGATGGATTAAATAAAAATATGTTTAAATGTTGGTGTGCCATTTATAAGCTATAAGATATCTAGATAGATTACCGCCAGTTTCTCATTTCATTCAAACTGAAAGTCTCAAATTTTCTTTGACTACGAGAGTCACCACTTGTCAGATTTTGAAGATATGCTAGGCGTTAGTTTGTGAAGACCATTTTCTTGATATATAAATTATCTTGCACATGCCTAATAAATGATAGACACTTTACTGCATGCATGCTATCTTATACATGCCTAATAAATAATATTCTTACATTTCTCAGAATGCCTTTTATGACAAGAAACATAATGAAACAATAAATTAGATTTTTAAAGAGCTGTGATGATAAGAATTCCCTTCCCCTATTTGTAAGGCTAACCTCAGAGTTACTCAGACCACACTCAGTCCTCAGATCTGACTTACGAAAGTTCCAGCTGTGAACACTGTCCTGCCCTTGAAAGAACCCCTGTTTCTTCACCAGTTAGACAAATTGTATCCTGGGAATAGCCTCACTTCAGGGCTCACTTTGATGACAGGGCCATCTTCCTTAGAATTGGCCACTTTGTGGGGTCTTCTAGCTCCAGGGACCTCAGGGTCAGACTGTGTACCGCGACCCCTGTCATGAAGCTAAGACAGTGACACATTTATCATTGCTGGTTAGAACTTAGTCTGAAAGGCTTTTTCTGTGGTAGGATCTAAGTGTTAGAGTTCTGGAAGTTCAGAAAAGGAAAGGACACTAAAGTCAGAACCCAAGAAAGTCGCAGGCTCTCCAACTCAGAAAATTGACTGGAATATTTAATTCCATCCTTATGTCTTCCCCAGCCAAAGAGAGCCCCATTAAGGCACTAGACCTCGCTGTTTTGTTTTGTTTTGAGGAAGATTAGCACTGAGCTAACATTTGCCACCAATCCTCCTCTTTTTGCTGAGGAAAACTGGGCCTGAGCTAACATCCGTGCCCATCTTCTTCTATGGTTTGATAAGCGGTGCCTAGGTCCATGCCTGGGATCCGCACCAGCAAACCCCAGGCTGCCAAAGGGGAACGTGAGAACTTAACCACTGTGCGACCAGGCTGACCCCTAGACCTTGCTCCTTTCCACTGGAAAATGTGGCACCACCTGATCATACTTGAAAGCTAATGAACTTCTCTTCCCTGTTTATGCTGCTGATGTCCCCGCTGGTCTTCTTTGCAACTGGTATCAGCTCATTTGTCACAACCTCAAAACACCTTCCTGAACTCTCTCTCTAAAACTTCAACCCCTATTCTCTTTCCCTTAGGCTGTTTTATTTCCTCCGCAGCAATTTGTCTGAATTTATCTTAATTCTTACTTGGCTTTTTTTATCTTCACCTACCACAATGTAAACACTCTGAGAGGAGGAAATTTGTCAATAATTTTCCTACTGTGCCTTCAGTGTCTAGAATGGTTCCCTGTCCAAAAGAGTCAAAAGTACTTATCGGTTAAGTGGCTCACATCAATTTCCACTACCTCAGTATTTGCAAATCCACACGTATTTCCATCAAATACAGATGATATGATAGAAGACTATTCTTCTAACTTTTCCTTTCTTTAGGTTTGTATTCTTTATGCTTAACACCTGAGTCTGCTTGTAATTTCTCTTTGACCCTGGAAACTTTCTCTTGCATTGTGTTACTACTTTAAGCACTCAGGCCACATCGCTTCTCCTTGGGATTTTTGTCATGACCTCCTGAATAGGTGTCAATCCTCCTCTCCTTTCCCCTCCAGCTCCATTCTAGACTCCAGTATGATTTCCAAGGCACGGTTCTGAAATCCTGTGTGAATTTTGCCTGAGTATGTGGGTATCTGAGCATGTGGAATATGAGAAACAGATGAAGGAGGCGTAGTTTATGATGCAGGTATAAGAAGAAATGCTTGTATGATATCAAAGAAGCTCCCAAGGTTCAGGCAACACGTTGTCAACCCAGTTTTCAAGAGGAGCCATAACACCTCAGAAAAGAAGTAATTCACAAGAAAGTACACAGAGATTTGTTAGAAACAAAGCATCATTTTTATTGAGAATAAATGATTTGCCACACTGTAGGATGTTAGGATCATCAACACAGGCATAACGGAGAATTTCGGATTAAGGGAGTGAAGGCTAACATTTGGAAAATAGTCAGATGACACCTCAGAGCCTCGGACCACTAAGATACCGTTCTAAAAACGGGTAGTTGGAGGTCAAAGCCTCTGCAAAGCATGTAATTTCTTGAATCTAGAAATCATGGGGTACAGATCCCTGGGTGAACATTATCTTTAGACATGTCATCTCAGAAGCAAACAAGGTTTGGATAGGGATGTTCTAGCAGCAAGAAGAATAATATCTTCTATAGCAAAATGGCCTGTACCCGCAGTAGCCAGAGCCAGAGCCGTATCCACAGCCATAGCTGGAGCCATAACTACAGCCATATCTGGTTCCATAACCACAGCCATATCCAGTCCCATAACTGCAGCCATAATGGGGGCCATAGCCACAGCCATAGCCACAGCCATAGCCGGTCCCATAACTGCAGCCATAATGGGGGCCAAACCCACAGCCATAGTCATATCTGCAGCCATAGCCACAGGAGTTGCCATAGTAGTTGCAACACATGTTGTCAGGAGAAGAGAATTCAGGCGGGTTGCAAGAGGAGGTTTCTGAAGTGTGTGTCTTCTACTTCTCCTGGCCCTTTATATACTGTCAGTAATTGGCAGAGCATACCAGAGCATACTCTGACTTACTCAAAAAATATATTAAAAACTCTTTTATGAGCCAGTCACTGTTAACATTCAATAACGGTTTGCTGAAAATGAGCTCATTATTTTGAAAACTCTAGTTTTATTTAAAGAACATCATTTAAATTTTCCCTGCCAAAGAATTGTCTCAATAGAATCATGTGCCCAAAAGTAAAACTGATACCCATTATCAAAACCTGATACAGATACCTGTAATTAGCATTTGATATATATATATATATCTCAGGTCCAATATATATAGTTATATTTTATATATATATAAAATATATATATATTATATGTGTATAACCTCAATACTGTCCATATATTACCTCAATTGCAAAATTCCATGTGCAATGCAACTCAGCACTCCGCTGCAACATAGCCTTCTCATATGCTAAAAATGGCTTGGGATAAGCAAAGAATTAATGGAAAAAATATATTTTTCAATGAACTTCAACTTTGCATTCCTATCACTAAAAGATTAGAAAATTTATCCACATCCATAATAGAGTAGACTAGGGTTCAACATCACCTACCAGAATTTCTCAAACTTTTATCATGAGTGGTTTTCCTTGCAATGATCTAGGTGGGTTAGATTATTGGGAAGTGATCATAAAGACATCTGCTCCACCTCTTGATATTTTGGAAAAGCCTTAGAACTTAGGAGAAATGGAAGTGCTATGTGGAGCTGGGCATCATGCCTTGCCCTGCCTTTTCCCTCTCACCTTGGTTCTTCCATGGGGTACACCACTGCCAATAGCACTTTTCATGCAGTAAGGTCCCACTGGAATCAAGTAATGAGAAAAACCCCACTCTACTGCTTCCTTTTCCACGTGTATTTACATCAGCATCTTGGAAGGACTTACACTTAAACTCTATGAACTTCCATTTAAGAGAAGATTTATAAACTCTAAAGATGAATGGTTTTGAAACAAACACCTTTCTCATGGGTATAGAAACAATGTCAGGGCCCCAGTGCCCTGGTTTCCGTAATCAATACGCCCTCCCAGCTTTCTAGTGTCCCAGAAAGTCTATAGCCATAAAATCTACTTTTGGAATTCTAATACCTCATTTAATCCAAAGAATGGGACCACAAATCCATTTAACTGCATCCCCTCTTCCAATAAAAATATGTTGTTTTCATTTTAACTACCCAGAATCCATTATTTTCCTAATAGAATTTTCTCATCTTCACTTATAGTCTTAAAATGATAACATATACTTATACATTTTGTCGATTGCTTTGCTTTCTAGGCATTTCTTCAGCAACTCAGCTGAATTCCACAGACACTAAGCACACGCCACAGGCAAGGTGCTGTCCTGGGAACTGTAAGGTTGCAAAGAGAGATCACACGTGGTTCTTGTCCCAGGATCAAGCATCTGCATGCATAAAGAGACTCCCCAAAAGAAGGAGTTCTAGTGTTCCTCTCAGGGCCACCCTGCTTTTTCACAGCGTCTACTTTAGGGCTCATCTTCTTTCTGCACTACAGGAAAGACAGAAACAATGAAACTATCAACACAGCTATGTCAGTAGTTCTCAGCTGGCGGTGATTTCACCCTCTTGGACTCTTGGAGACAGTTGACACTGTCCAGAGACATTTTCAATTGTCAAGACTTTGGGGCTGGGAGATGATCTTGGCATCTAGTGGTAGAAACCAAGGATGCTGCTGATTCTACAGGGCACAGAACAACCCTCAACAACAAAGAAACATCTGTTCCAAAATGTCAATAGTGCTGAGATCTAGAAATTCTGGCTAACAGCTATGCATCTATAAATAAACTTCTATGCCTGTAAGTTTATAAATCCAAATATAGCCTTTCTTCTCACTCTATACCAAATATCTGACTTTTCTATCACCAAACATGCAGTCACAAAAAAGTGCCGATTTCATTTGTTTGTTTAGGGGGGATTTTTTTGCTTGTCTTACTTGTCTAGGTTTTGCTTAAATCACCACTTTGAGAATAAGACAGACTCCAAAATTTAAATTATTTTTTACTGTAACAACCATGAAATCTAAGTTGGAAAGGAGTATAAACCCAAGAAGATCATTCCTTCTACTGGATACTGAAATTTCAACGGCAAAGGAATGAGGGGAGATCTACTGCTTTTTTAGATGACTTCAACAGGGGTCTTCACAAACCTACCAAATTCATTTTCTGAGAGAGCTCATTAGTAGACATTTTTCCTTCAGGTGATAAATCATTCTACCTATTTTTTTTTTTTTCTGATTTTGGTCACAGGTCTAATCTGATCACTCTGCTATGTTTCATCACTAACAATAAGCATACAGAAAATATATCCCCCGGGCAGAGTGGTTATGAGTGCTCTGCTTCGGTGGCCCAGGGTTTCGCAGTTTTGGATCCTGGGTGCAGACGTGGCACCACTCATCAAGCCAGCTGAGGTGGCATCCCACATAGCACAACTAGAAGGACCTGCAACTAGAATATGCAACTATATACTCAGGGAGCTTTGAGGAGAAGAAAAAGAAGAAGAAGAAGAGTCGCAACAGATGTTAACTCAGGTGCCAATCTTTAAAAAAAAAAAAAAGAAAGAAAGAAAGAAAATATATCCCCATCCTAATTTTTCTTTTCCTTTAATGTCTTTCCTTTTCTGTCATCCTTGAAATTTAAAACTATAAAATCTACCTCAAAAATTCCCTGGAATAGACACTTTGCTTTTCAATGCTATTGCCAACACCTACTTTCAGGCCATAGTACCCCTGAATTATTGAAAAAGTCTTCTACCTATATTGCATTATTTCTAATGCCTTTCCATTCAGGTCCCTGGATACTGGTCCATAAAGGCAGGAACAATCTCCATTATGTGCATCCCTGAATCACCAGCTCTGAGTACAGTGCCTGACACACAATTTGCACTCAATCAATATTTCTCCAATAAAAAATGGATGGATTAAAGCAAACACGTGTTCACACATTTGGATACCACATATAAGCTATAAGATATTTGCATATATGCTTAAATTCTCTGAACACTACTTTCTTCTTTCTAAAATTGGGTCTAAGCATTTTACATAAGTGTTTTTCACATGTTTCATGCCTATTCAGTGCTTTGGGGCAGGAATTGTACTCAATAAATTTTATTCCCTTCATCTCATTTATCTTACACCATAGTTTTAAATTCTCATCCAATAGCTTTTCAAATATTCATATTTACTTGTACTGAAATGCTGACTTTGTCTGAATTTAATGTAATAACTTTGTAGTTTAAAGGAGATTATTCTATTTATACATATATATGCTCTAATTAAAAACATTTTTATGATGAAAAAGCAAAGCTCCTCAGAAAATAAATTACTCTCTTTGTGGCCTTTTAATGACCTGACTGAGCCATTTTGTATAGTAATTTGTTACCAAAAATACAATGTCAGCATTATGTCATTGGATATGGTGTGCATATTTTCAAGTTCAGCAATTAGAGGATGACGTTATGTTGTATTTATAAAGCATATCACTTAGGAACATATTTAAGTACATATCATAGAAAAAGTCGATGTGATTCTTTTGAAATTCCAGAAAAGTCAAAAGATCAGTCCATAGTAGAAATGTATTTTTAGGGCTGTGTCTTTTTCCATAGCTTGATTAAGTGTCCTTTTATAATAAGAGATTTAGCCAAGATCAAAGATTTATTAACTAGTAAATCCTTAATCTCCACGTGAAATATGTTCTAGACATTCTCACAATTTGGGACATACATAAATTTCCCCCTTATGGTATAACATTTTTTTCTAGCTTCCAATCCCAAGTAATTTTATAGTCTAAACTTTCATTAGACGATGAAAAAATTTCTTCTAACCAGTCCATATTCACTGTATTTTGTAAAGTGTCTTTACACATATTCTCTCAATTTATTCTCACAACCTTGTGAAATGAATAGAGCAGATACTTGACAAACAAGCGTTTGGAGAAAGAAGCTGAGGCTCAGAGCAATCAAGTCTCTAGCCTGAAGTCACACAGTGGATGAGTGTCAGAGCCAAGTCTCCTTAGTCTTCTGCTGCTGGGCTCGTTGGCATATGTTCCTCCTGGCCCGGCCATCTCCTGCTCATGGAGGAGGTATGTGCTACTCTCTAGATTCTCTTATGAGAGTAGGGAAAGACAGGAAATTACCCTCCAGATCTGGTTAGTGATTACAGCTCTCCCAGCAGAGGTCATAAATGCACACAGAGACATATTGTCTCACTCTCCTATCTTACTATCCAATTCCTATTCATGCCTCAGGCCACAACCCAAGTGCCCCCTCTTCTTGAAACTCTTTCATCACTCTTAGACCACTAAATAACCCCTCTGTATTTTATAATTCCAATAACATATCACTGTAAAAATAATCTCTTTCTAATTTTAATCTCATTATATTACTCCTACATGAGATTATGAATTTGTTGAGAACCAGGCCCATTTAGATAGATAGATGGATAGATAGATAGATGGACAGATAGATAGATAGATGATAGATGGATGGATAGATAGATAGATAGATAAATTGTCCACAACATCTACCATAACACAAGCTTTTCCTCTCTTAGCCTCTAAATTGGATAACAACTCATTTCTACACTGCTGAATATCCAGAAGACCTGATTTTATTTGAAGAAAGAATGATTTAAATTCATACCAGCCATGGTATTCTTCCTATTTTTCTACAACACTCTGTTGACTACCCTTCATCCACAGTCTCTACTCCTGCTATAAATACTGAAGACACAAATCAAAGAGAGAGAATATCCTCCTTTACTTTCTTGTCTCTGTGAGTACCAAGATCGTTTTCTCTGCCAATCAGGCTCAACACTTCTGAGCTATTTCTAATGAACAGTTCACAAAATCTCACGGCCAGATGTACACTGGGTCACCACCTATCCTGCAGTTCTCACTGTGCTGATGCTCCTGCATTGCCAGTGGTTGGG